AGGAATGGGAGAGCTGGGAGACTCAAGTCATCCATCTCATTGCATCAGATCGTAAAAATAATCTGTAGCTGATGCTTTCTTTCCAAATGCTGAGCGTTTGCAGAGCACGTGCACGAAGAGGAAGGCGAGCGGGACAAAAGGCCAGCCCTTGCGCTTCCCCGGAGGGGCTGCACGTGGGGCATGGTGTGTCCCTTTGGCCTTCAGACCTGCTAGCAGGCAGCTGATTCTCCTCTGCTCTGCAAACCTCTGGGTTGTAAAGTGCGGTGTGTTTTGCAGGTGGACGTCCAGAATGAGAACACCTCAAAATAAAAACAAAATAAGCTTGAAGATGTTGACCCTGGATGCCTGTGTGTGTGTTGTTTGATCTAGGAAGGAGAGAGCCTCTGGGTGGTGAAACTCAAATTTCCTACATATGTAAAATGTTTAGGCTTTTTTTTTTTTTCTCTGAAGTCTGCCATCTCAATTAAATATCTGATTTTCAAATCCATAGTCAGGCAGCTTTCCCGATTGCATCCAGCAGACTGCAGTTCCCATTCACAAAGCCCCTTGTTTTCTTCTAGCTTTCCTTGGATTTCTTTGCAGGGCAGTGTTTTGTTTTCTCTGTAAGCCGTTTGGAATACATCTTCACTAGCACTGTAGCCGGAGGGTTTGTGTGTCATTCAAAAATAAAAATAAAAAATCTCCACCTACTGAAAAGTGAACAGCACAACCCTAGCAACCGGCTGGTGTGTTCGAACCAGAGGAAGGGACATTAAACAAGTAAGACCAAGCAATGTCTCTCTGTGACAGCCAGGGATGCGGTAGAAATGCCAGCTAATGATAAGGTTAATCGTACCTGATAGTGGAGATAGCTGCGTTTCTATTTTATTTTGATTTTTTTTAATGGTGGATTGTAAATACAGCCTTGATGAAGCGATGCTGCTTCTTGTCAGCATGAGCAAGGAAGGTATTCAGCTGGGAACTGTAACAGGGGGATTTGCCTCTGTAAAAACAACCCCCCCACCCCGTCTTGCACTGATTGTACGCATGCAGGAAGGTAAGTGGCGTCATTTTCTTGAAAAGCAAGAGAAAACTTATTTTAAATGGTCCATCAGACAGGGTGCTGTCAGTACTTTCCTCCCAGGTGTGTTCTCGATGGCATTATGCCAGGGGTGGCTTTCGTTCATCTGCCTCTCTCTCTACTGTGTGCACCTTGGTTTCTCGTTCATCTGCCGTGTCATAAATCCATCCATGTTAAAATGATGATTTTCTCTTCCCACCCCCCACCCCCTTTCTGCTTTTGTGGATGAGAGGAATTTAAACTGCTTGACATCATCTGAAATATTAACTATTCCTTAGTTTCCTGAGGAGCTCCATTGTGCTTCTCTGAGATTGATTTTCATTCGTGTTACTTCACTGCGTGGTTTTCCTTAGTCACTGCCCAAAGCCTTGAGTTTTCTCTTAGGTTTTATTTCTGTTATACCAAAGCAAAGAGTGAAGAAAGGAGCATACATATTGGGAAAGCTCAGCTGTGTTAGTGGTCAGCCCAGGCTTCTCTCAGAGTTTGTGGAGTCGGAGGCAGTCTAGGTGCCCTGCAGTAGGGCAGGGATTAATCCGCTGGTGTTCCAGTATTGTCTTCTTTCCTATAATCCACAAAGGGTTGCTGATTTATGGCTGCTGTCTAATAACTGCATTTCTTTGACTCCCTCTGCACCTTCCCTTTCCACCCTCTTCTTCCTGCGGTTTGTTGTCTTTTCTTCTTTCATACAGTTTGGTTCTTTGGTCCGTTGGTGTATGAGGTGTTTGATTTCCTCCCTGCCCATCCGCTCCCTGCGTGCCAGTGATGGTGACCAAACAATATAAGAGATTCCTTGCCCTTACCGGGGAAGCATGCTTCCAATATTATTCTTCTGTCACAGCAGTTTTACTTCCCAATGTCTGGATGTGCTGCACTGTGCTGGGAGGGGGGCCAGAGCAGGATGTGCTGTCCCAGGCTACTTTTCAATGACTACTCGGAGAAGTAAATAACCGGGGAAATGGGATTTTGTTGCGTCATCTCCAGCTGTTCTGCTCAGGGACTTTTTGTTCTTTTTTTATTTCACCTCTCTAAGTTTCTGAGCTGTAGGCTCGGTTAGGCTGTGAACAGATGCTCCATGAGTGGTGGAAGGGTTTCTGGAGATCAGTGTGTTTGCACGGTCTTGCTTCACTAAATTTTATCTGAAGATATGCTCTTAGCAGCACAGCTCCTTTTGCAGTGGCAGTGGAGCAAGCACTGTGCAGGCTGACACGTCTCTTTCCTTGGAGCTAGGACCAGGTAACAGTGGGGTAGATGCTGGAGGTCTCCTGGATGCTGTTGGTGCCACTGTCTGCCGCTGGTGCTCTCATCAGTAGAGCTGTCTTAGGGGTTTTTGACAACCATGGACAAAACCTGTGTTTAGGAAAAGCAAGGAGTGCTTTTTTTGGAAGTGTGAGGGGTGATTCTGCCTGGATGAAGTGCAAGAGAGGTGATTTTTCTGTGCCTATGAGCCATGGCTTTATTATGCGAGTGTAAATTAGCAGTTCCTTGCCCCCAGTTAATGTCTTTCCTAGACAGAAGGTGAGAAACAAGGGGTGCGCTGCGAATGGATGTGATTAGGGAGCACTCTGTCCCTTAGTGCATTTTTCGCCTGCAGTAGGCTTTTCCGAGGTAGCCTCCTCAGTACCATGTTTAATGCCTGATCATGAGCTGCACGGAGCTCACTGATGGGCGAGGTAGGAAAGCACCTCTGGAGGTCTCCAGCCCACCTTCTGCCCAAAGCAGAAATGCACAGGGCGGGCTGCTCTGAGCAAGGTCCAGTCCGGCTGTGAGTAGCTCCAAGGATGGAGAACCCAGAAGGGCAGCTCTTTCCAGTGCCTGCCATCCTCACAGTAAAGAAGGCTTGCTTTTTATTTTTGTAGTGAAGACTTTTTTTTCCTTCTTTTAATGCTCAAGTGGGATTTCCCATGTTTTAGTGTGTTCCCATTGCCTCTTGTCATGTCACTGGGCGCCATTGAGAAGTCTGGCTCCGTCTTCTTTATTCCCCCCCGTGAGGTGTTTATGCACATTGGGAAGATTGTGGGCACTCCTGACTCCCAAACATTAATTAGCTGTTGCAGGTTTGTGGGTGCTTTGCTGGTTTGTTGGTCCTTTTCTAGTTAGAGCTGTGAGGAATCAGTGTTTTGCCGGGGGCAGCAGCAGCCGTGGTGTGTCTCTGTGTGCTCTTTGCCTTCAGAGGGAAATCCAGTGCAGGTCGTTCACACTCCACATTCATAGACACCCATATTTGAGCAGGGCCTGATTATCAGAGCCAGCAAATGCTGAAGGAGAAAACCCAAGACTGTCTTCAGTGTTGTCCAAGTGAATGCTGCATTTTCTGCTCATTTTTATCAGGTGTAGAGGCACCAGACCAAATGTCTTGTAGGATCTGCATGTTGTGGCAGGAATTGTACTGCTTGAAATTTAATATTTACATCGTGTTTATAATTGGGGGCTTCTCCCTGAAGGTTGGAAGTCTTCAGTTACCATGCTACTGCATTTTTTAAGGTTTGCAACACACTAACTTACAGATATTTTGACTTTTAATAGTTCTCATGGCTTTTCTGATGCTGGCAACTAAATAATAAAGCAAAACAGTTGCCAAAAGCGCAGTAGTCTTTGTGCTGTCATTCAAAGGTTACCGTAGGGTTTAGACCTACTTCATGTAATAAAAGATTTCCTATGGAAGATGAAATGTTTGTTGGCATTTTAAGGATAATATTTCAGCAAAGCTAGCTGTCAGCTTCCAATAAGAGCTGCTTCCCAGCTGGGTCAAACCAATAAGTTGACTCATAGGAGGGAGAATTCAGTTTATAGCATGAATTTTTGTTTTGCTTTGGTTTTTAGTAGACTGTTTTCCAGGACTTATGCCAGAGATATGATGAACAACTTTCTTAATTGCTTATGTTGGGGCAAATGTCAGCAGCGGTGCGGCCTAATACAAAAACCAAATGGCAGGGTATGCAAAAGGTTAAAGCGAGTTTTCCTTCCTGGTGTTTGTTTAGCTTTGTTCCCTAACTGTATTTGTAGCAGAAGTGGTCTCGTGTGTCCTAGATTAAAGCCACAGCAATCCGGGCTATTTTGGTGTCTCGTGTGTCCATTGTGCTGGGGTGGAGGGATGGGGTGCGCCTCTGACCTCCACAGCTCCTCTTCAGCAAAGTACCGCAGTACGTGCTTAGCTGGTTCATCAGGGTTTCAGGTCTACAGGTGACGCGTCGGGCAGGTTTGCTTTTCCATACTGCTGGAAATACTCCTCTGGGGAGCACTTCTGGCTTCCAGAAGTTTGAGGGTAAGATCAGATTGCATCTTTACCGTGCCAGTCTCTGTTAAGCAGAGAGCAGCATCTTCAGAGGGACAGGCTGTGCATACTTACCATGTCCAGTGAGCCATGGGCATCTGAGATATCCTGCCTGTAGACAAACAGCTGCATGCAGGGTCTTCTAGATTATCAGACAGCTACAAATCTTGGGCAAATGGTCAGACTTCTCTTTTTCTAGACTAGCAAATTCTTGGGGAGAAAAAATACAGAAGATAGACACATGGTTTATTGCTGAGTTGCAGCTTCCTTTTAGTGATAGAAGGCCTGTGTCTTCTATGCAAGCTAACCTGAAGCGCCACGTGAGATTTCCGAGGTGCTCTGTGGGATGCCCCTTCAGTGGCATGGACCTACAGGCAGAGCAGGCCACAGGCTGACCAATGGTACGAACTGGGTCATTAGGCTGGTGCTTTGATTCTTTGATACTGGTTCATGCCTGGTGGTGAACACCTCCAGGTCTTATTGTGGTCAGCAGATGGCCCCAGTCTTCCTACTGGTCCGGCGATGGTGGTGTCTGAATTCAGAGAACATGCAGTGAAATTAAATTCTCTTTTGCAGATTAAATTGCAGACTTGAGGCTCTGGATCCAACTCATACTATCGGTGTATGTACACTCCTTATGGTGTAGCTGGTGATCATTCCTGAGAGAAGATGATGAGTGATGCAAGTGACATGCTCGCTGCGGCTCTGGAGCAGATGGATGGCATTATAGCAGGTAAACTCTTGGCGAACCCTTATTCATTGAGCTGTTTTGGTCCCTCCTTTGTCGTACCTGGAGGGCAGAGTTTAAGGCTGAGAAGGGCAATGTGGTGGTAATTGTATTTGATGTCTTCCATTATAGTTTAGAGATTACAAATAAATGGGAGTGGAGGGATTGCACAGACCCTCACACACAGACACAGCTTACATGGATTGTAGTTTTTCTCCTACCCTCTATCAAAATGTTGCTCAGCATGGCTGAGCAATGCAGTTCAACTGGTGCACCCAGCACCATGAAAGCCAAGGAGAAGGCATGTTTCAAACCACGAAGAGTGTGTTTAAAGAGCTGCTGCAAGACAGGATGAGTAAGTTTACCTAATACTGCCTACTCTGAACTTCCCTCAACTCTGAAGAGTTAAAATATGAATTGGATTTTCCTTTTTTAAAAACTGGAATGCTTTGAGTCCAAACATTTGGTTTGGACCTGCCTTGAACATTCGAGTTTTTTGTGTGTACCTATAAGCTGTAAGTGGACCAAGGAGAGGCATTGCAAAGTGTACAATCTCTGGTTTTAAGTTGAGTCTAGTGAGTTAGAAAACAGCATAAGTACACAACACAGAGGAGCAAAGCAGCAAGAAGTTAATAGTTTAATCCTTTTCCAGCAGAGCTATGCAAACAGCTACCCAAACTGAAAAAATATTCCGCAAGGATAGCAACACAGTTAAAAAGTCTTTAATAGTTCCACTTAAAATAATTTCCCTTAGGGAAAAAAATAATCATACAGTGCATGCTTTGTTTGCACGATGACTTTTCTCTGCTGTTTTCCTAAAGATATTAAGGACACATAGCAGAAACACATGTAAAGTGGATTCAGTTGGATCATAATGATCTCTCAAAATACGTATAAGCTGTGACTTTAATGATTTCCATAAGTAGATACTGGTGTTTGGATCCAATCGTGTCTGTGTTTCCAAGAGCCTAAGTTGGTTATGGCAGGATGAGGTTTAATATAAAAATAACATGTTATGTTGGGATGTTTAAGTCACCACAGACTTGATTTACCCACGTGTCTGAACAGACCTATAAAGTAATAAAATAAAGGGATATCAACTCCTGTGCTGTTGTGGGGATTTTTCTCTATTTTTTTTCAAAGGGAATTAGCAGAGTACTTGCATTTTTGTGGCTTGTCAGATGAGATGTATGAAAGTTTGTGGAAGTGCATATATGGCAGATTGCTGTAGTTTCCAAAAGTCGGCAGTACAAATGATGCTCTGTCATGAACATGTCTCATTGTGCTGATGCATTACAGTATTAAGGTCTCAAATCAGTGTGCTGCAATTATAGTCGGAATTATCTAGGATGACTTAAATCAACCTTAACCCTGAATTCATAGTTTCCTTTCTTACTTAATACATAGCAACTTTTAATTTAGGTCAAATATATACTAGGTCATATATATACTGTGAGTTTATGGAAAGAAGAGATTTTTCTCTTTATTAACATGCAGATGACAGAGCTGCCATGTCAAACTGCTGGGTTTAAAATTTATTCTTGTGTAGAATTTATTTGGTCTTTTTATTTATCTGCATATTTTTCTTTATTCTTTTAAAAAAATTCCAGTGCCTTGGAGCAGCATAACATATTACAAAATCACAGAATGTTAGGGGTTGGAAGGGACCTCCGTGGGTCATATAGTCTGACCCCCCTGCTGGAGCAGGGTCACCCAGAGCAGGCTGCACAGGACCTTGTCCAGGCGGGTCTTGAATATCTCCAGAGAAGGAGACTCCACAGCCTCCCTGGGCAGCCTGTTCCAGTGCTCCGTCACCCTCAAGAGTGAAGAAGTTCTTCCTCATGTTCAGACGGAACTTCCTCTGCTTCACTTTGTGCCCATTGCCCCTTGTCCTGTCACTGGGCACCACTGAAAAGAGTCTGGCCCCATCCTCCTGACACCCACCCTTCAGATATTTATAAGCATTTAAAAGGTCCCCTCTCAGCCTTCTCTTCTTCAGGCTGAACAAGCACAGCTCCCTCAGCCTTCCCTCATAGGAGAGATGCTCCAGTCCCCTCATCATCGTCGTAGTCCTCCACTGGACTTTCTCCAGTAGCTCCTCATCTTTGTTGAACTGGGGAGCCCAGAACTGGACACAGTACTCCAGATGGGGCCTCACTAGGGCAGAGTAGAGGGGAAGGAGAACCTCCCTCGACCTGCTGGCCACACTCCTCTTGATGCACCCCAGGATCCCATTGGCCTTCTTGGCAGCCAGGGCACACTGCTGGCTCATGGTCAGCCTGTCGTCCACCAGCACACCCAGATCCCTCTCCACAGAGCTGCTCTCCAGCAGGTCCATCCCACGCCTGTACTGATGCATGGGGTTTTTCCTTGCCAGGTGCAGGACCCTGCACTTGCCCTTGTTGAATTTCATCAGGTTATATTCCTACATGAAAAAGGCAGAGCACAGTTTCCCTTGGACTCCATCACTTGAGTCATGCGATCCCTACGGGGTGACTCAAAGCGTTAGAAGAGCCTGTTCTACCCACAGGACTTTCTGCCTCCGATACATCCCGGGGAGCAAGAGCCCAGCCCGTGCCTCGAACCCATGGGCACAGTTGTGGCATGCATGTCCTCTGTCGGATCAGTCCACCCCCTTCTGCTGGAGCTGCCCTCCACGTAGCACACCAGCAGCAGCTTGTCCCGCTCCAAACCGCTGCGTGGCACGGGCAGAATCCAGCCCCAGCACGGAGTTCGGTTCAGATAAATGCCCGCCGGGAGCAAACGCCGGCCAGCGTTTCTCAGCCATCCCATGTGTCCCACCCGCTTGCCTCGTGCCTGACCCCGCGCTATTTTGCTCCCTCCAGGTTCAAAGGCGCTGGAGTACTCCAATGGCATCTTCGACTGCCAGTCCCCCACCTCACCCTTCATGGGGAGCCTGCGGGCGCTGCACCTGGTGGAGGACTTGCGGGGCTTGCTGGAGATGATGGAAGCAGATGAGAGAGAGGGGCTGCGCTGCCAGGTCCCCGACTCGACGGCGGAAGCTCTGATCGAATGGCTCCAGAGTCAAGTGGTACGATCTCATCGTGTTCCACCTGTAACGCCCTGGGTTTTGTGTGTTAGCTAGCCCACCTCAGGCAGCAGGGATGTGTTTTATGCAGGGCATTTAATAGTTTTAGAGCAGGTTTGAAGCAACCAAAGGGATGAGATTTTGGTTTGGAGATGCTGCTAAGGGGCCTCAGAAAAGCTGTAGCTCAGATACCTTGTGCAGTGCATTGGCCTCTGCTGTTTTTTGATGTACCCCCATGCCTCATTTTAGGGAGCAAATTTTGGTAATGGGAGTTTCATCTCAGCGGTTTCGGTAGGACATTTTTGTAGGAATCAGACATTTAAGTAGGAGGGGGAAAGCTGTTTTCAGTATGAACTTTTCACTAAAAAGCATTTTTGGCATCATATTTTCTACAGAGACCAATGTTGTTACTGAGCTTCCTTACCTGGTTTATAACAGGAGTGGTATAAGCTCAGCATCCATTTAACCTGGAAATCAAACCAATTTTTTATTTTCTGTGTTTGTGAACCTACCAGTTTTTGTCACTTTTGCTTTAAAAACACACCAAACTATACCTGAAAAGAC